GGGGAATGTGTTGTGGAGCCTTTTGTGATCTGCTTATCCCCTGAGTTTATCACAATTCTTAGAAAAGAACACTGTTTTCTGTCTGAAGCAACATTTAACTTGAAGAAAGCTCTGCTTTTGTTTGGAATCACCTACTTAGCCTACTGACAGTTCAAAAGTCTTGCAAAGCCGCCCACATGTGTTATTTTCTTCTGCCTGTATTTATCTAGTGCTCAGTGATGCCTTATAGTAAGTTCCTAAGTTCAAAGCATGTGCCATTTACAGACAAAGTGCAAGGCAAGAAACAAGAAAGATGGGAAAATGGATTGCAAAGAGAAGAGGAGTGAAAAAGCTTTATCTGTTTTGGGTAATAGGAAGTTATAGAAACTAGGACTGGATTTTAAATGACCACCAGAGGAAATTTGTGTTATTAATAGATACAATGTACTTAGCAACATGGCAGGCTTTATAGAACACATAAAAATAAAAGGTAAAACTGGTTGGCCTATCTCCAGCCTTTTTTTTTTTTTTAATATTCTATTTATTTATTTGAGAGAGAGACATTGAGAGAGAGCATGAACGAGGAGGAGGTCAGAGGGAGAAGCAGACTCCCGGTGGAGCTGGGAGCCCGATGCGGGACTCGATCCCGGGACTCCAGGATCATGACCTGAGCTGAAGGCAGTCGCTTAACCAACTGAGCCACCCACGTGCCCTATCTCCAGCCTTTTGTGTAGTTTTTCTCCTTTCATGTGCACGAGGGTCCTGTGCGTAGGTAGTGTTACCTTCAGTTTTAGAGATGAAGAGACAGGCTCACAGCTTCAAGTAACTTGCCCATGCCTTTGGCTAGCAAGTGGTAGAGCTGGATTTGAACTCAAATAAGCACAGACTGTGTTATTTCCATACAGTCATTTCTCAGTGAATTTTGAAAAATTAGTGGGAATTGGAACCTCCAGCATGAGGCAGACAGTAATTATTTTCTTGAGAGGAAATTATTTTCTTTGAGAGAAAAGAAGTGGATAGGACTAAGGGGCGCCTGGGTGGCTCAGTAGGTTAAAGCCTCTGCCTTCGGCTCAGGTCATGATCTCAGGGTCCTGGGATCTAGCCCCACATCGGGCTCTCTGCTCAGTAGGGAGCCTGCTTCCCCCCTGCCCCCCGGCCTGCCTCTCTGCCTACTTGTGATCTCCCTCTCTCTCAAATAAATTTTTTTAAAATTTATTTTTTTTAAAAAGTGGGTAGGAATGATAAAAAGAATTTTTTTGGCAAGAAAAGAATAAATGGCACACCAAATGCAGAAAAGTTTATAATTTTTTTTAGATTTATTAATTTTAGAGCGTGAGAGGGATGAGGAACAGAGAGAGAGGGAATCTTAAGCAAACTCCCTACTGAGCATGGATCCCCCAACACAGGGCTCAATCTCCCAATCCTGAGATCATGACCTGGGCCGAAATCAAGTCAGACACTTAACTGACTGAGCCACCCAGGTGCCCTCAAAGTTTATATTTCTTTCTTTAAAAAAAAAAAAAAAAAAAAAAAAAAAAAAGATTTTTGTATATTTAAGGGAGAGAGAGAGCACAAACCAGGGTAAAGGCAGAGGGAGAAGCAGACTCCCCACCGAGAAGGGAACCCAGTGGCCTGACTCCAGGACCCCGGGATCATGACCTGAGCCAAAGGCAGATGCTTAACCATCTGAGCCACCCAGGTGTCCCTAAAGTTTGTATTTCTGATAGAAAAGTGTAAGTTCCTGCAGATGACTGGTGCTCAGGCTCAAGCGTATATCCCAGAATTGCTGTTCCCCCAAATCCGCATTTCTAAAAGCCAGCAGTGGATGCTGCCCCTGCTGCTGCTGCTTTTAGCCTGGGGACCACACTTGCATGTCACTACTCTAGACTATTTGAGGAAGTTGGAGGCATGGCCAGTGTGTGTAAGAGGAGTTCATCTGGGTAGCAGCATTCAGGGAGCTGGAGAGATGTGTGTAAAGGTAGAAATCAAGGTTTTTAACAAGTGTGGGATAGTCAGGCTCATGTTTTATAATGATGCGAAAGAAAGCACCCCTGTTCCCAGTGGCTGGAAGAGGGTTGTGTGTGGAAGGATGAAATACAAGAATCTTGTAGAGTGTAGGTTAATGGCTGTTTTCAGATCTGGCAAGCATCTAGAGCAGTGCCCTGTCTATAACATGCTCGATAATTATTTGCACGATGTCTCACACCTGTTAGAATGGCTGTCATCAAAGACCAGTGATGACAAATGCTGGTGAGAATGTGGGGAGAAAGGATCCCTAATGCACAGCTGGTGCGAATGGAAATTGGTGCAGCCACTGTGGAAAACAACATGAAAGTTCCTCAAAAAAATGTAGAACTACCAGATGAGGCAACAATTCCACTTCTGGGTATTTATCCAAAGGAAATGAAATCACCATCCCAAAGAGCTATCTATACCCCCTGTTCCCTGCAGCATTATGCACAATAGCAGAGACATGGGAACAACCTAAATGTCTTTTGACAGATGGATAAAGGAAATTTGGTATTCATATACAATGGAATACTATTCAGCCCTAAAAAGAAGGAAATCCTGCTATTTGCAACAATATGGGTGAGCCCTGAGGGCATTACGCTAAGTGAAATAAGTCAGAGGAAAAACAAATACTGTATCCTCTCACTCCTGAGTCTAAACAAACAAAAAACCAAACTCAGCACAGATTTGTGATTCTTGGGGTGGAGGTAGGGGAAATGGGTGAAGGTGGCCAAAAGGTGTACAAACTCCCAATTATAAATAAGCTCTGGGGATCTAATATACAACATGGTGACTATCATGAATACTGTATTGTATATTTGAAAGTTGCTGAGAGAAGGTCTTTTTATTTTTTATTTTTTTAAAGATTTTATTTATTTGACAGAGAGAGAGAAAGCACAAGCAGGCAGAGCAGCAGGCAGAGGGAGAAGCAGGCAGTCGCTTAACCGACTAAGCCACTCAGGCACCCCTTAGAGTAGATCTTAATAGTTCTAATAAAGAAAGAGAAATTTGTTAACTATGCAAGGTGATGGGTGATAACTAAATTTTGATCATTTCACAGTAAATGCATGTATCAAATCATTATGTTGCTAACTTAAACTGATACAATGTTGGATGTCAGCTGTATCAATAAAACTGGGGAGTAATTGTTTGTTGCATGAATGGACAGTTAGAATGAAGAGTTCTGTATGTTAGGGACGCCTGGGTGTCTCAGTTCAGTGTCTGTCTTCAGCTCAGGTCACGATCCCAGGTTTCTGGGATTGAGCCCCGCATTGGGCTCCCTGCTCCTCGGGGAGACTTCTTCTGCCTCTCCTTCTGCCTGCCACTGCCTGCCACAAGTACTGCTTGTGCTCTCTCTTTCAAATAAATAAAAATAAATAAAATCTTAAAAAAAATTTTCCCCATATGTTAGAAATATTTAAGGGGAACCTGGGTTGCTCAGTTGGTTAGGTGTCCGACTCTTGATTTCAGCTTAGGTCATGATCTCAGGGTCCTGAAATCCAGCCCCATGTGGGGCTCTGCACTCAGCAGGGAGTCTGATTGAGATCCTCTCACTCTCCCCGTGCTTGCGTGCTCACGCTCTCTCTCTCCTCTCTAAAATAAGTAAAATCTTAAAAAAAAAATTGAGCAATTGATATATATCCTTCCATTCTTTTTTTAAGTCTTTCTCATAAAAACATTTTCTAAAATTTTTATTTTTGGTCAAAATAATTTTGGGAAAAATCTTCAGAATATACAAATGATATACAGTAAAATGCCCTCCTGCTCTTGTCTCTTCTCCTTGGTTTCTTTCCTTCAAGGCCAACCATTGATAGTTTCTTGTGTATCCTTCCATACACAGGGATAGTCCTCGTAAGTGTGTGTCTGTGTGTGTCTGTGTGCGTGTGTGTGTAAATTTTTAAAACACAAAAGTAGTATAGCATACTATACCACTATTCTGTCCTTTACTCTTTTTCGTTTAGTAATACATTTTGTTGATCATTTCATATAGCTTATATATAAGGCTGACTCAGTCTTGTTTAACTGGTCATTTTATTTAAATTTCAAACTGTGGTGGGCATTTAGAGAGCTTCTGATCTGTTGGCATAATTAAAAACATTACAGTGACTGTCCATATACATTTGTAATTTGGTAGTTATTATCAAATTGCCTCTATAGAGTTGGGTGAATTAATTTACATCCCCAGCAACAATTTAAGATAGAGCCTGTGTCTGCATATCCACAACAACAAAATGTCTATGAAATTGTCCATTTGTCAATTTGATGAAAATAATACTCTATGATCATTTTCATTTGTATTTTTCTAATTGTGAGTGAAATTTTGCATTTTTCTTATGTTTATATATCAGTTGGATTTCTTTTTTCTGTGACCAGGATGCTCATGCCCTTTGCTCACTTCCTAATTACTTTTTTTTCCTTATTGAATCTTAGAAGCTCTTTATTAAGGAAATTGACCCTTTATTATATGTGATGCAGACTTGGGGCGCCTCGGTGGCTCAGTCATTAGGCATCTCCCTTTGGCTCAGGTCATGATCCCAGGGTTCTGGGATCAAGCCCCACATTGAGCTCCCTGCTTGGTGGGAGGCCTGCTTCTCCCTCTCCCACATGCTCTGCTTGGATTCCCTCTCTCGCTCTGTCAAATACATAAATAAAATCTTTTTTAAAAAATGTGATGCAAACTTATTATTTACCTTTTAGTTTTCTTTATAGTGAATAATTGTTTTTTTTTGTTTTGTTTTTTAAAGATTTTGTTCATCTCTTTGACAGACAGAGATCACAAGCAGGCAGAGAGAGGAAGGGAAGCAGGCTTCCCGCTGAGTAGGGAAGCAGAGAGCCCGATGAGGGCCGATCCCAGGATCCCAGGATCAAGACCCGGTCGAAGGCAGAGGCTTTAACCCACTAAGCCACCCAGGCGCCCCTGAACCATTGTTTTTAAAATTGTGCGTTTTAAGTGAATTTACAACTGTTACCTGTGTTCTGTTTGTTTGTTTGTTTGTTTTTTTCCTACATAGGATTTCTTAATATTTGGGATCTAAGGACTGGAAAGTATCCTGTCCATCGTTTTGAGCATGACGCAAGAATACAAGCACTCGCCCTCAGCCAGGACGACGTGACTGTGGCCACGGCTTCTGCTTTTGACGTTGTGATGCTACGCCCCAGTGAGGACGGGTATTGGCAAATTACTGCTGAATTTGAAGTTCAGAAACTGGTAAGCTTTTTGGTCTGGTCACTGTATTCTCCGTTGTTGAAATCCCCAAGTCTGATACAGACAGATAGTGACGATGTGGGCAGCTCCCATTCCCTCAGGGCTTTGTGGACACCTTACATTTCTAAACCTCATGGCAGCCTTGCAAAATAGATAGTATCTTTCCCCCATTTACCAGAAAGCCAGGAGAGGCTTGGAGCAGTAAACCGACTTGCCCCATATCTCAGCGCTAAGAAGCTGTGCTGCAAACCGCCGGGCTGACTTCAAGGCTAGTGTTTCTGGTTACGGGGGTCTTTGGCTTCCTTCACGTTCATAGGACATTCATCCCTGGAAATCTGAGCCTGGTTTCTAGCCTATTATATAAGTGAAAATGAATTCAGTCGTATCCTGCCAATCCATATGGGAGGGAAGGTTTCCATCCCGCACTTTCTTCACCTAGGATTTTCTCACCTGGAATTAAGAGTAGCTCCTGAGTGAAAATAAATTTAAGTCCGCGCTAATTGGGTAGCTGTGTTCCAGGATGTCATGCGTGAAGCTCGGCCGTCCTGAAGAGTTCTTCCACATAGAGCCTGTTTCTGAGTCCATTTGTATGTGAGCCTCCATGGTCATATGGTGGGAGATGATTTTGCGGTAAGAAGGAAGAGCTTAAATCTGTGCTAAATTTGGATTTAATTTAACCTTGATTTTAGCACTAGTGGGAGAGCAAACAGAAAAGCCAATTTTGAATAATGAATTTGTGGTCTGACCTGGAACAGATCCTGTTCTCCCTTTTCCCTCCTGGTAGAGCTCTTGTTAGGCTTGAGTAACTAAAAAGCCCTTGGCCTCTCCACGTCCCCTCCATAAGCTTCTTGTTCCTCTAGTGAGCAATTTCTGCAGTTTCAGTGGTGGTTCTCTGAAACTGCCTGTTGTTCCTCTTGGAGTTTTATTAGAGAAATGTAGAAGTACCATCTCTTTGTTTGTTCTCGAAACTACCATAGTGCTTATCATTTGGTCTCTGCCTAAAGAATATTCTAGATGAGCCATAATTATATGAATTCGACAATTACTTAAGATTTGAGTTCCTCTGTAAAGTGTAAATCCTGCCTTGGCAATAAGGTGGCACCCTGGCATAGACTGGAAGCTTTTTAAAGTAGTTTACAGCTCCTGGCAAATGGCACAGCCACAGTCGATCTGAGCTTCTTGGTCTGTCAAAAATCCAACAGTAAAGTGAAATTAAATGGCTAGACTGAGGATGTTGATTTTAGGAAAATAAGAAATGAGTTTTAGAATAGGAGAGAGAGGAAGGAGGCAACCGCTGCTGGAAGCATGTGTTATTATGCTTTTTATGTGTTCTTTCTCCTCCTGGATGAGGGGTGGCCACAGAATGTGCTGTCACTGAAAAAGGCACCTCCTGGCCTGTGAAAGCTGGGCCATTTTTGTCTTTCCCAGATAGGCTCCCTGAATCACAATGGCAGTGTTCCCCGATTGGTACTACTGGCCTAGATTGTCTGTCCTTTGTCATGAGTTCTTGGCTGGGGACATGGGGCCGCCACTCACACTCTTGGGCCAGAGGATTAGCAGAATCACCCGGATGTTTACTCTCTCTCAAGCTCCTCTGGACAGTCCCCGGGGTGCAGGCTTTTGAACTCCTTTGGCTCATTGTCAGGGCAGTGCTGTCCCTTTCCACAGTGGTTTTCATAATTACACAGCATGGCACACCGTCTGCTTTTGTACTCTCCCATTTTACTCAAGGTGAAAACCTGGTGTAAACTGTGCTTGGGAGACATGTGCCACTCAAAGACATAGAAAAGCAGATTATTCCTGAAGGGAGCACCTCATGCTCATGCAGATTAGAGAAAGCGGTTGCAATGATGCAGTCAGGAGTAGTGCAGGGGCCTTTCTACCCTCGATGACTTTGAAGCCAGCAGAGGACAGATACCTCAGGTACTTTTAGCCTTTTAGCAGCACATTTTTTGGTATTTGCACAAATGTTAAAATGTGAATGGTGCTAATTTGTACCCTCATGGTTCAGAATTTAAAAGATAGAGTAAGGTTTACGGGGAGAAATCTCTATTCCACCCCATCAAAGAACTCTGTTCCCTTCTTGAAAGCAGCCAATATTATCAGATTTATATTTGCATAAGTCACATACGTGCTGTGGTCCCTCTGGCCCCCCTTCACACACAGTAGCATACTGTGAATCCTGTACCTCGCTTCCTTGCTTTTTTCCCCCCAAATGTATCTTGGAGATGATTCCATTTATATCAGTTTATAAAGAATGCTTCATGCTTTTTTTTTCCCCTGTGGCTGCATAGTATTCCAATGCATAGATGTATTGTTAATTAGTCCCTTGGTAAGGCATGTTTAGGTTTTTCCAATTTTTAGCTAAGACAACATAGTAAATAGTAAATAACCTTGTACACAATTGTTTTGCCTGTATGTGAGTTTACTTGTAAGTAAATTCCTGGGGCTGACTTGCTGGTTCAGAGCGAATGTGCATTTGACATTGTGATAAGTATTGCCAGATGTCCCTCTAGAGAGGTTGGAACAGATTATATCCCACCAGCTGTAAGTGGGATCTGCAAGTATGGTTGTCCCCCCTCCATTTCCAGACCAGTGTCCTATCAGGCTAATTGATCTTTGCTGATATGACTGGTGAAAATGGTATCTTGGCGAATTACTTCATATTTCTCTTATCAGAAATGTATTGTGTTTTTGTTTTTAGGTTTTTTTGGTTGTTTTTTTTTTACAAAGAGCAACTTTTTATTAGTGTAAGAACCATGTTCTCATTTCCGTGACCTTGTGAGCCTTTGCCCATCTTTTTCTGTCAGGTTGCTGGTCTTATTGACATAGAGGAGGGATTGTATATTTTTGACCAAGTCAGGATGAACCATGGGTGAGACCTGATGGACTCCATAACTCTTATCCTTTCACAGGTTGACTACCTTGAAATAGTTCCAGATACTGAAAGGTACCCTGTGGCAGTGGCCACGGCTGGAGATCTGGTGTACCTGCTAAAAGCTGAAGACTCTGCCAGAACCCTCCATTATGTCTACGGCCAGCCCGTCACGTGTCTGGATGTCTCGGCCTGCCAGGCTGCTTTTGGAGTGAAGAGTCTAGGATGGGTACACGAAGGAAACAAGGTACAAAAGTAGTAAGACGTATAAGGAACAAAAAAGAACATCGATTTTTATTTTTTTGAAGACAATTAAAAAATTAAAGCTGTCTGATAAATTTTTAAGGTATATTCAGGCAATTTATATTCAGCATGGTAAAAAAAAAAAAAGAAACTTCAAGCACTTCTGAAGGCTGTAAAATGAAAGTAATTGTTTCCTTTCTCGTTCCTTCCCCCAACCCCACTCCACAGAAGAAACTATTGAACAGTTTCTAGGTATCCATCTAGTAGAATTTCATGCATTTATAGGGACATTTATACACGAAAAAATGAGATCATAGTATACATACTGTCCTGTACTCAACATTTTCATTCAGTAATACACCTCGGGGAGTGTTCCTTGTCAGCACATACCATGCTCCTTCTCACTAGGGTTCCAGCGTATGCCTACAGCCCATGTCTTTTTACGCAGCCCTGCTCACGGGTGGGCAGTCGGGTCGTTTTCACTGTTGGCTGTTACTGACTACACTACGATGTGTACTGCAGCTTCTGAAAGTCTTGTGTAGGAGATCTCTAGGACAAATTCTTAGTGGTTACGTTGCTTGGCCAGAGGGTGTGTGCACTTAAGACGATGATGGACTTTGCCAAATTGCCCTCTAAAAGGGTTGCAGCAAAATTTCTCACCAGTAGTGCATAAAAGTGCCTTCTGATAATCTTGCGTCAAAATTAAGGAGACAGGTTTTTTAATTGACTAAATTTTACCACTACCTAGCATTTTACTATCCTCACTATAGGCCAAGTATTTGGTCTTAAAGTTGATTTCTCTCTCTCTCTCTCCCAGTGGAATCAGGGGAGAAAGGGATCAAGTTTTGTTTTGTATTGTTTTGTTTTGTTTTTCTCCAATTTGCCCACTCTTGACCCTGCTGGCAGTGGGTGCAGTCCTTGGGAAGGAACTTCCCTGAGCCAGCCGCTCCACTGACGACATAGCTTCTCCTTCAGGAAGGAGGCCTTCTTCCACAGAGCAGCGTTATGACCCAGAGAAAAGCCAGGCTCTGGATGCACACAGCCGAATTTCAGTTCCACTTCTGTAGTAACCTACTGCCCTGTGGGACCTTAACCCTTTTAGGCCTCAGTTTTCTCATTGGTAAAAGGGAGTTCTGAATAGTAGCTATTTCATAAAATGGTAGGGTTTGATGAAAATCTGTGTGTAAAGCTTTAAGCATAGTGCCTGGCATGCGAGCATGACCATCATGGTGCTTCCGGTTTCTTTCCTCCACTCCTAGTTTATGTCTGGCCTCCGGTTGGGATTTGTATACCTTGTTTCCCCTGTGGATAGTCCCCTCGAAGATCAAATCTCGTTCATCAAGGTGTTCACTGGTTTTGCCACTTAGTAAATGTGCAAAGTTTTGAAGCATCCCGGATTGCGGTAGCTGTTCTTTGTTCAGGAAGACGCACAAAGCAGTCAAAGATACATGTGGCTTTTTGCAACCTCACTGTGACAGCGGACTCCCTTTGTGCTCTAGTGGCCTGTTCTGTGGGAGCACAGAGCACAGCTTAGCTGGAAAGATAGATTGAGGATGATTTAACTCCACTGTTGTGCGTTCCTGGGAGGTGGGGCAGGGGAGAGCAGTTGATTTCCTAAGGCACTTTCCTTTCTTGCTTTGAAAAAACCTTTTCTGGTCCCCGGTGAGCTCATTTATTGAGAGAAGAGAGACTATTTGCCTTCTAAGTTTTCATCTATCATACTTTGAAGTTTGGTTATCTCCTTTTCGTCTCAGGTTCTCAGTGTAGTGAAGTGATAGTTTTATTTAGCACTAGCCTGGCTTAAATTTGTCCTATTTTAATAAATTTTTCATAGTCAGGGAGACCTGCATGGCTTAGTCGGTTGAAAATCTGCCTTTGGCATGGGTCATGATCCCAGGATCCTGGTATCAAGGCCCACATCAGGCTTCCTGCTCAGCGAGGAGCCTGCTTCTCCCTCTCTTCCCTGCTGATGCTTTCTCTTTCTCTCTCTCTGGCTATCTCTGTCACTATCTCCGTCTCTCTCTCAAATAAATTAAAAAAAAAAAAAATCTAAAAGAATAAAAGTACTAATTATTGGAATCAGCTGATTAACCCACTGATTTTATGAAAATTCACTTTTAAAAGTTCGTAGTCCCTCAAGTCATTACCTGGTATTTTTCATTGGTGTTTTAAAATGAAGAATGGAGATTAATTTACTACAAGAATGTGTCTCAGCATCTCTTTGAATCTGATAGTACCATTAGTCATCCAAATATTATGTGAGTGCAGCTCCAAACCCTCCAACACTTTTGTGGGTGGATGGCTGGTGGGTGGTTGTACGCCGTTACAACTTTGCACTGAGGTGTTTCTCCAGCATGAATGCCACCCACTGGAACGTGAGGGAGGACACTCTATATCTATGAAATTTTCCCCAGTTTTGAGGAGGCAGCACTTTCCATGTGATTGTGTTCAATGAATTCTCTGCTTGTTTGAGAAAAACCTGCATTTTTAGGAAACTAATTGTCCTGTAACATTTCTGGGTGAACTAAGCCATGTCATGGGTGGCTCTATAAGATTTTAGTATCCTCCTGCTATCCTATAATATGATACCATAATTCCCAAACAGTCTTCTGTGCGGTGCTCAGTGTCACTGTGCTTAACGCTGTGAATACCATGTTTGGGCTCTATTTGCTTTGGCCCGGGAGCATGTGGCCCAGCACGTTTTATTAGGATGGTGTGAGACTATTAGCAGGAGAGCTTGCCTGCGGCTAAATGCACGTGGGGGTTTGTGTCTGTGCCTCTGGCCCGTGTATTTAGGATTCAGATGAAGGCTTTATGAGAACAGAGAGTTTGGTTTATCTTTGTTTGTACTGATACAGAACTGGGGTTTAGCTATAATCCGTTATTGATTAACTATGATCAAAGCAGATAGTGAAGTCCAAATGTTGATACAGAATTTGAGTCAGCGACCAGAATTTCCCTAACCTGTAGAAGTGCCCCAGCAGTGTTATTTGTGTTTAGTTGGAGAATATCCTTGCACCATGTGATAATCACATTAGCATTTTATAGGAACCACAGCTATCTGAGCATTAAGTAATAATGTTTTCGAATCCATCCGTTCATACATCGAGCTAGCCGGACACGTGCTGGGCGCGGAGAGTTACAGTTGTGTTCCTGGCATTGGCACATTACAACAGCATTCTGCACAGGCTTCAGCGAGTTGGCACTTTTAGAACCTAGCCTGTTAATACACGTAGTCTCCTAAGGAAATGAAACCAAGGAACATCGCACAAATGTATCTAATCTCAGGGCACCTGGGTGGCTCAGTTGGTTAAGCAAGTTAAACATCTCTTGTTTTCCGCTCAGGTCAAGAACTCAGGGCGGTAAGATCAAGCCCCGAATCAGGCTCTGTGCTGGGCATGGAGCCTACTTATGATTCTCTCTCTCCCTGCTCCTTTGCCCCTCCCCTGCCTCATGCGTGGAAGCATGCTTTCTCTCTCTCCCCCTCTCTCAAAAAAGTAAGGTATTTAGTCTTAAGAAAAGGCTTGTAAATACAGCTGGTGGTTCAGCTGTTTCCAGCTCAGGTAGGAAGGAACAGAGAGAAAACTCTGGTCCCTCTTGGTCTGCCTGTGCGCAGGGATCCCCAGGCTAGGCTCTAGAGTTTTGATATTGCCTTCTTGGGCTCTTTACTTCAGTGGCATACATGACCTGGAAGGTGGCCGTTGCTAAGTGGCATGTGATGGTGAGGGAAAACAAGTGTAGTTGCAGTGACTCTGGCCTCCGTTGTGCTGCAGCGCGGAAATCAGTGTCAGCTCTGTTGCTAACCCTCTAAAGTGTGTTTTTATGTCTCACATTTCCTGAAGCTGTCAAAAACACTTCATCCATGAAAATGGTATTTATGATACCATATTATCTTTATTAATTCTTTCGCTGCTTGAATTAAATTTTTGCTCTCAGAGGTAGAGAGTTAGAAGATAGAATTGCCTCATTTAAGAGCATTACGTTGACGATGAGTCTCATGCCTCATAAAGGAAAGAGAGAGACCCACTTAGGGCTCTTAGCATCATTCTATGTATTTGGACATATTTCCTAATTTAGTTCTGAAGTACTTGGCATTCGATGGCAGATTGTATTAAGCAGCACGCGGCATGCATACTAATCAGGGAGATGTGAGTGAAGTAATCCAGAAGGCTGGAACGTGTTTGACAAGGACGCTTGCTTGGCGCTGCTGCCTCAGCTTACATCACGCTGGAAAAGAATTGCTAACGTCTCCTGTGATAATCATTCCCTCTACATGAACGTGAAAGGACTCTGGATTGGTGGCTTGCGCTTGTCACGAGTTGAAATATCAGTCAGAGAGAGCCTTTGGAATCAGAAACTCAGCACCTGTGCGTTTGGGCCCTGCTCTCCCATATCTACACTAGAATATGAAACCCATCTTTTGCTCAAGGTACTATTCCAGAGAACAAAAACTTGGTATTTTACAAACAGGATGACTAATTTAAATTGAAATTTCCCAAAGTAAATGGCTAATTTCCTTTTCACTCATCTTAAAACCTTTAAAATTTTTTATATATACTTTGTTCTTGGAGAAATTTAGGGAAGTAGCTCTTGGAGACCAGTTTTCTTGGGTTACTGAGTCATGTGGACTACCAGAAAGATCCATTTTTATTATTGAGGTTGCTGCCATTGTTAGTGACTCCTTATTGAATACATGCTGTATGCTGGATTTTTTTTTTTTAAGGTTTATTTATGAGAGAGAGAGAGAGAGCATGTGCGCATGTTGCAGGGAGGGGCAGAAGGAGAGGGAGAGAATCTCAAGCAGACTTCCTGCTGAGCATGGAACCCGATGCAGAGCCTAATCTCATGACCCTGAGATCATGACCTGAGCCAAAACCAAGAGTTGGACACGTAACTGACTGAGCCCCCCTCCACCCCCCAGACACCCCCATGTGCTAGATTTCTGATTGTAACTGAAAACCAGGATGAACCGAACATGACCTCTGCATGGGGCTTACGATCTTG